CGCCTGCTCCTAGTGCTCGCTGCGCCCGGCCACGCCCCGCTCTCCAAACCGCTCCCCTCGGACCCCAGCTCCCTTCCCAAAGTGCCTACGCACAACCTCTGTCCCCAGGTGCCATTTCTCTGCAGCCCCAGCCCCTGTGGTTCTCGCAGGTTCTCTCCCTGGAGCCTGTCTTCCTTGTGCGGCCCCTGAAACTGGGACCTAATATCCTTGGGAAGGGGCAACTTTGGTGAGATAGGAGGTAGGGTGGCTGAAAGTTCGGCCTTAGATTGAGAGGATGGGATACAGAGCGGATTAGATTAGAGAAGAGCCATCGAGGAGAAGAGGGCCCCCCCTCATTTTGTAAACTTTGCTCAGATTGTGGCAGTGGCCCGTCCCCACCCTCCTGATTTAGCACTAGGTTGGCCCTGTATACGGCCTGGGGGACTGTCCAGCTGGGAAGCGGATGCTCCCACCTTGCGCTGGGCCTGGGGAAATCACCTGGAGAGACCCAGTTAGCAGGTGGGGAAACAGGCCTCAGTGGATGTGCCACATTTGCTTAGTAGCTGAGCTGGAACTTAAAACAGGCCCTCCCGCGGCTGTCCTGAGATCCCAGCCATGGTTATCGGGGGCAGTGGACAGGGACTGAAGATGGGTGGAGGGGCTGCCGAGGCCTGGGAGACCGCTCCCTGTGAGCCAAGGTGAGAGAAGAAGGAGAGAGAAGGTGATGCAGATGGAAGAGAGGGAAGGAGCTGGCTAGCTGAACAGAAAGGGGCAGAGGAGGTGGGGAGATGAGATGACATCCTGCAGTCTTGCAGCCTGGGGTGGGGGTCCTTAAAACGGAAGGGTCCCACCTCTTCCCCTGACTGCCCACCCTGGGGTGGAGGCTGAGCACTGCCATTGATTGTTCTGAGAAGCCCGCCCCCTCCCCAGTTGCCCTCCCCGCTGTTTATTTATTGCACGAGTCTAAGTTATTCTCTCCAGCCAGAGCCCTAGCCTCCGCTCTGGGAAAGTGGCGTGTGGCCCTGAGCTGGACTTTATATTTTATATCTGCAAATAAATCACATTTTATCTTATATTTAGGGAAAGCCGGATGGCAACAACCAAAAATTGTTTTTAAAAAATTTGCCCTGGCCCCCAGAATTTATTTATTTTCTGACTTACAGTAAGCGAGTTATCCGCCTTCTGTATTTTGTAGACTTTCTGAATAAAGTCAAGTTCTCTTTTTCCACAGTGAAGAAGTGTTATGTCCTGAGCTGTTTTGGGGGGTTTCTGAATAAGGGGCCTAAGAGGGAGTTCTACTTTCCCACCCCAGGCAGACCCCTCTGCTGGGTGGGAGGTTTAGCCCCAATCTGCAAATAAAAACTAAACACTATCACTAGCTCTTGCCTGGACTGGAGGAGGAAACCCGGATGGGTGGTGCCAAAACATCTGTCCTTCCATCTGGGTGCCTGAGCCAAGGATCCTCTTTGGGGAGGCAAAGCTGGGAGCACAGTGAAGTGAGGGTTAAATTCCCTGGGCCTCCCTTCAGCGAAAAAACAGTCCTGCTGAGAGGAAAATTCCCAGATTGAAGAGGGATCTTTCCAGCACTTTTACATCGAGGTCTGATTTCCTACAGCCAAGTAGAAAATACTTTCCTCATGTTCCGGACGCGCAGGGAGGCGGGAGAGAAGTGGCGCCCTCAGTCCCAGCCTGCAGGCCTAAAACGCAACTGTCTCCTCCTGGGGCCCAGGCGGATGGAGTACACGGTGGGGGTCAGGGAAATCGGGGTTTGAACCCAGATGTGCGATTTTCTAGCTGTGTCACCTTTGATGACTTATTTAGCCTCTTGCAGCCTCGGTTTACCCATGTGTGCCAGGAAGGTTTTCTGAGGACACAGGTCACAAGCACTGGGAACCGGAGGGGCCACAAGCTTGAGCAGAGTAAATGGTACAGGAGTGCGCACCCCTGCAGTGAGGAGGGTTTCCCAGGGGCCGGGACAAGGCGGGGGACATGCAAGTTGGGGAGAGGCCAAACCACATGGGCTGGCTTTACCACAGGCCTCCCTCCCCTCGGGTTGGGGCCGCGATCCTCCCCATCCTGAGATGCAGAGCTCAGGCCGAGGGAAAGGCAGCCGGAAGCTGCGGGGACGGCGCCTGGGAATTTCCCCGCCCCCGCGGCATTCCTGAGGCCCCCGTCACCGGCCAGGCCCCGCCAAGGCATCTGGAGGTGGCGGCAGGAAGGTGCCCCGCTCGGCCAGACTCCCGGCCCGGTGAGGAGGGGCAGTGCCCACTGCCCAGCAGGCCTGGCCCCCAGCGGGAGGCACCTAGGGGCCCACGGTGGAGGTGGCGCTCAAGGAGGCAGGGGGACAGCTTGGAAGGCACGAGGACCCTGAGGAATCTCAACCCGGAGGCACCTGCGGGGCGGGGGCTGCCCTTGGGTGACGATGGGCCCTTTGTGACCGAGGCTGCCACCGTGTCCTGCTGGCCAGCGGAGGGGAAGACGCTGTCCAGTGGGGGCCTGGACCCCAATTTTAGTCTCTGAAAATGTGAATTCCCCCATCACCTACACTCTGCACACCGGAAGGACGAGGGTTTCCTAAGACACCCCTGCCCACAACCACCGAACCTACCCTCACACCCCCGCGGGGGTGGGAAGGAAAAAACCTCACCCACAGGCAGAGATTTCAATACAATCTATATTATCTCATATATATATTTCTTTCTCACCTTATTTGCTCACTTCTGTCACGCATTTAAAATGTCACAGAGACCAAAATAGAGCAACTTTCTGGTGGGACTCACGGCAGTCATACACGAGATACAAAACTAGGGGCTCTGTCTTCTCATACATCATACAATTAATTTTTCAAGTATTTTTTATGTACAAAGAGCTACTCTATAGGGAAAAAAATTAAAAAAAAAAAAAAGGCAAGGTAGGTTACAAATCCTAGGAAGTAGGTGGCATGGTCAGGCACGAGTTCCCAGCCCCCATCTCTCCAGGGGCTGCTGGCTCCCTGCCACTGAGCTGCAGGGCAGAGACTGGGGGCAGGGAGTCAGCCGCACACTTTGGCCTGGAAGGAGAATCAGAGAAAGATTTGTGAAGGGAAATGCGGGGAGTGGGCACAGAGCTCGTTCTCAGACAGCCGGCACCAGCCTGCTGCCTTCCCAGGCAGCTTGGCACTGGCTGGCCAAGCCTACCAGACAGGGGCCCAAAAGCAGCCTCCAGTACCCCACAAGCAGGCCTGTCTCCCCCAGAGTGCTGGCTTGGTCACAAGGGTCAAGTGCCTGGAAAGGCTGACAGGACAGAACCCCCACCCAACCCTCGACACAGTTCATTCCAGGAGTGGCCAGAAGGAAAGATTCCACAGGGAAGCTCTGAAGCCGCAGGGCAGGGACCTTCGCCCAAACCCTGCCCCTTCCCCAGGCTGCTGCAGCCCAAACCCAAGTGCTGTCTGGGGACGGGGCGCTCTGCCTGCACAAACAAGCAGTGTCCATCAAGAGACTTCCTAAGACAGTGGCCGATGTAAGCCCAGTGGCATGGGGGCTCTGGCCCTGGGAGGCTCCAGGTATAGGGGTGCGGAGGTGGGCGAGGGGAGGGGACTGAGGTCCTGGCCACCCCCGAGGCCTGTCCAAGGGCGCTTGGCCCAGCACTGCAGGATCCTCTGAGTGCCAGGAGCTTTGCAGGGAGCCCCCAGGGAATGACTGGGATAGACTGAGGGCCAGGGGGACTTTCATATGTGACTAAGGCACAGAAGAGACGGGCTGGGGCCAGCTGAGGCAGGACCCCAGGCCCTGCGTGGACGTGGCGCCAGGGCCCGCTGCAGCGGGCCCTCGCCCTTTGTCTTTCCTCCCACAGAACCGTGTCCTCTGGGAGCTCGTGTGAAACGTGGAGACTCAGACTCTTTCCCTGAAATGGGAGGGAGAAGCCCCAGCGAGAGACCAGGACCCAGCAAAGGTTCTGATCGCTCAGCCTGGGAAGGAAGTGGGAGCCCTTGACCCTCTGAGCAGCCAGGCATTAAGGGCTCTGCCCAAAAATGCTCCCAAGACAGACCCCAGGTGAGGGGCAGTGTGGGCTGCTGGCTGTCCTCAGCAGGCCAGGAGGAAGGAGCGCGAGACAGGTGCAGCCAGAGAGGACGCCCGGAGCTCAGGGACCCCATTTGGAGAGGCCACATCAACAGGCAGGGGCCCAGAGGCACCTGAGCACCCTTCCTGGTGGGACAGGCGGCTCTTGGTATCTGGCTCTGATCCTTGCAGCATGCCAGGCAGGCCTGGGTCAGGAGGGGGTCCCAGAGAGCTTCCATGTTCCCTCCCTCCTCCTGCTCAGATGAGGGTAATCTAGCATCGGACAAGTGGAACAGGAGGAAGTAGGCGGGAAGAGCTGTATTGCACGGTTTGGGGGGTGGGGCTGAAGATCTCATGGGGGAGGGCAGTGACCTGGGGACAGAGCTGTGGCTGTTGGTCCACAACATAAGCATCTGGGTCTGGGGCATGGCTGGTCCCAACATGCCGCCACCGCAGGACGAGCTGCAGGGGCATGGGAATCGCTCCCAGTGTCCCCTGCTCCTTGCCAGGCAATGCAGGCTTGGCCTTGTATAAATATTCCTGAAGGTTCCAGGGTGAGCCCGGGCTGTCCTCTGGGTAGACAGTGATATGTGTGTCTCTGGTCCAATAAATTAAAGGGCAATGCCAAAGCTGTGCCACCTGCCTCCTGGCCTAGACATGAGGCTGGAGGGAGCACACCCTGCCCTGGGCCAAGGTGCCAATCCTTCCCCAGCAACAGCTGCACTTAAAACTCATCATCAGAGCTGAGCAAGAGCGTCTTCTCGTTGTCTCGGGCACCACTGAGGCTGTGGGAGCGCGAGAGGCCGTGGGCGCCGCCATGCCAGGTGGGCCCTGGCTCCAGGGTGGACTGCTGCGTGTACTGCTGGTAAGCAGGCGAGAAGTTGTGGATGGCGTCCTGCACAATGTCGTGTGGGTTCATGGTCTCCTTGAGGCTGCTGGAGATGCTCTTCATGGGGGCGCAGCGGCCTGCAGGACAGGAGGCAGAAGGTGGGGGTAAGGGGGCTGGTGCAACAGGAGACAAGGCCCCCAAGGTTGTGTCATCCAACCACCCCCTAGTCCTGGGACCCATCCCCTGTAAGGTTGTGTCATCCACCCACCCCTCCTGGGATAGAGAACAGGGTCCAAGATATGAAAAGGTGCAGGCAAAAAACAGGTCTTCTGGCTGGGGCGCAGAGCAGAGTACCTGAAGGAGGGTAGAGGTAAGCAGCCTCTGGGGGCTGAGTCTGGCAGGTGGGGGGGGCCTGGGGTGGAGACTGGCACAGTGCAGGCAATGAACCCAGAAACTCCAGGGAGGCCAGGCCAAGCCAGCCCAGGCATCAACTAAAGGCAGGAGTGTTGGGGAAGGGGGCTCAGGAGTCAGGCGTGCCCAGGCTCCACTGGTGCTAGCCCTGCCCCCTCTTCTGAGAGAGTGGATCAGGGACATGTTCCATTCCATCGGGACAGTTGCAGAGGGCTGGACCCACAGCAGAGCGGGCATCATCACCAGCTGCCCTGTGAGAGGGCAGGGGCCACCTGTCCTGATGTGCTAATCTCAATTTCCTCTGATCAATTCTCCCCAGGGCCCGGGCCACAAAACTGAGACGTAAGGGATGAGCTCAACTCGCAGCCAGGTCTTCAGACTCAAACTCGCCTGCTCTTTCCACCTTTGTGTCCTCTGCCATGGGACATACTAAATGCCCTGGTTTCCCACTAATGCGTGTTGTGCCCCAGAACCAAGCAGGGCATATCCCAGAACAATCACAGGCCAGGACAGAAGCAGGCAAGCTCTACAGAGGGTGGCTTGGCAGGCAGGTGCTCTGGGCACTGCCACCAGGGGTATCAGTGATGAAGGGGACAGAGACACAGTGAAGGAGCTAGGAGAGAGGCATGCCAGTGACAGTGACCAGGACTGACGTGCAGGACAGACATGCAGACCAGAGGAGAACCTACCGTAAGGACCATATGTTGGCACTGCCCACGGCCAAACCCGGGGCAAAAGCAGGGTGGGCAGGGGGAGGGGAAGAGAAGCAGGAGAAATAGAGAAGACAAGAGATAGCTGAGTGAACACCATGTGCCCACCACCGAGGCCAGTGCATGCCACGCCCCTGCCACCCCCACCCCTTGCCCGTTCCCAACCATGGAAAGAACAGGGTAGTGAGAGAGTGGGCGTCAAGTAGCCTGGCGCAGGCCAGGCCAGTCCTCTATACTCTCCTCAGTACACAGCTGCCCAAGGCCGTGGTGCAGAGGTGGTGGGCCTGGGGAAGTGAGTTTCTTGCCTCCAGCCACATGAGAAGGGAGCTGGTAGCAGCCGAGCTCCAGGGTAGATGTGTCAGACCAGGAGGCTTCCCCTTCCAGGCCCTCGGCCTCCTGATGTCATTTCAGGCATTCCCAGACTCCTCTTCCTGTCCCCCTTGGACATCTCTCCCAGCCCAGCAGCACCCAGAGGCAGCCCCTGCCCCCCGGGGGATTCTGAAATCACACCCAGCCAGGCCCAAGCCCAGATCAATTATTGCAGAATCTGAGGGAGGGGCCAGACTTTTAAGACTCTTCAGGGTGTTCTAAGGTATAAGTTTCCAAGCTCTCTTCTAATAAAGAGCAAGATCAGCAGGTGTAAAAGAAAGCTGTTCAAAGCTATCACCATCCAGTCTGCTTATGAGAAGTAATCAAGTTAAAAAAACACACAACATGCCCGACCAGCGTGGCTCGGCAGTTGAGTGTTGACCTGTAGGAGATCATGGTTTGCTTCCTGGTCAGGGCACATGCCTGGGTTTCGGGCTCGATCCCCAGCAGGGGGCGTGCAGGAGGCAGCCGATCAATGACTGTCTCGTCATTGATGGTTCTATCTCCCTCTCCCTCTCTGTGAAATCAATAAAAATATATTGAAAACAAAACAAAAGAACACAACACTGTAGAGACAGAATTATAGGATAAAGCAGGTAACTGTATTCAATATCAGGAACCCTTAGGAACTTGTCTATCCTAAAATCTCCGTCCTGACCTTCCCATGCCTATCGTCTTTGGGTCTCCTTACTCCAGACATGCTGCCAAAGACAGGTGGGCCTGGCTTCCAGGATATCCCTACACGTGGCCCAGGGATTCCTGACCCTTCCACACCTGCTGGACACTGAGAGGCAGGAGGGGCCCTGGGCAGGGCTGGCAGTGCTCCTCCTGTTGGGGTCATCTCCAGGACCCTGGCTCATACCTTGCGCATCCAGTCTCTTGTCAGCATAGACCTTGTAGGTGAAGGCGTGCCGCAGGGCAAGAGCTGCGAAGAACATCTCCACGCAGATGATGAAGTCCTGGTAGCCGGCTGCCACGGTGCCCTCGCCCACTGACACACGGGCTGAGTGGATCTTGGGGATGGCCCCGCACTTCTCCAGGATGGCCAGGAGCATGCCTGGAAGGGGAGGCGGGGGTGTCTGGCTCAGACTGGACCATCTTCCCAGTTCCTCTTCCTCCTTGCAGCCCCCCCAAATGCCAGGACAGATGGAAGCAGGGTCCACAGTTGCTCCTGGAGGGCAGGGTTGCTGGCACAAAGCCAAGGCCACTTGGAACCCCCACAACCCCAGCTCCTTTTCAGCCACCAACACTGAGACGTCACGGATTGCATGGGGTCCCCTGCGTCCCCCCAGCCATGAGTCAGCCCCACTGAACCTCCGCCATGGCTCCTATCAAGGCCCCTGAGGCCCAGACTTCTTTTTTTTTTTTTTTTTTTTTTAAAATATTTTTTTT